AAGGGAAGCAAGTACTGTTATCATATCTCCTATTTGCAGATGACAGAGATTTAAAGGTGAAGTAATTTACCCAAGTGTATATTTGATAAGTAATGGAATTGGAATTTTTACCCTCATTTAGCCCAAACTTCTTACCACTATATTTTCAGAAATCTATTTCCAACCATAACTATCATGCTAAAATTATTCTTTGCAAAACCATCAGTAATTATTTTTTAATCCTTGCCCATTCTCTGGAGAGTGATAATAGCAACATAAGTGTGACTACAGCTGTCTGCACTCAGAATATTAGTGGCAGTTTCAGATGGTGGCAGTAAGCGATGGGCAACACGTGACAGGTAGGTGCTATGAGGTGTGGTATCAGGAGAGGGACAGGAATCTAGTGTTAAGCTGGTGAGTTTGGCTTTTGCTTCTGACCAGCCTTTAGTCACTCAAAAATCAGCTGGTGAACTTCTTAAAACATGGGCTTGAGGGAACTTCCTCTGGTCTAGGGTAGGACTCATAAATCTGCATTTTAAAAAGCAATACTAGATAATAATCTTATACAACAGGGTTTGGGAAGCATCAGCCTGAAGCCTGTTTTTCCTGAATTTTTTTTTCTCTTCTCCTTTTTGAGACAGGGTTTCACTGTGCAGTTCAGGCTGGCCCTGAACTCACTTTGTAGCCCAGCCAGGCCTCGAACTCATGGCGATCCTCCTGCTTTAGCCTCCCAAGTGCTGAGATTACAGCCTTGTGCATTTTTCCTGAATTCTTATAATTATTTTGCATTTTTTCATTTGGCTTTGAACAGCTGTTCCTTCCTGTTCTTGAGAAAAATTTAGAAGGCTAAATTGACAAGATTCTTATCTTGCCTTGTTTAACTTTTCCTATGAGAATCTATTATAATTAAGGTGTGATAAATTACTCATAACTATGGCCCATATTTTCATTTCATTAGCATAAAATATTTAGTGGCTTATAGGATATAGAGAATTGATATTACATCCTAATTTTTTGTTAAGAAAAATATGTATTTCCCATCACAGATATTTTTCCTATTTGAGGTATATGATTTGCAAAGGTCGTAATGAATGAATCTTGCAGGTTTGGTCAAAAGACATTTTTTTTTTTTTTTTTTTGTACTGGGATTTGAACTCAGGACTTCATGTTTGCCAGGCAGGCCCTGCCCTGCTGAGCTACATCCCTGGCCCCAAAAGATAATTTTTAAGTACATTTGAACAGTAATAACCAGGGCTTTTATAGCATGGTATACCATATAGCTATTCAAAAGAATAATGATATGAAAGATTGTTGTGGAAGGCTATCTGTTTATATATATATGTATATATATATATATATATTTATTATTGTTATCATTATTTTTGGTACTGGGAATTGAACTCATGACCTCATGCTTGCTGGGCAGGTGCTGTGCCAGTCAGCTACATCCCTGGCCCTGGCTATCTGTAATATATAGCTGAATAAAAAGGTAAGTTGTAGAACAGTGGGTATAAAATGAACTCATTTTTGTTTAAACTAACCCCCAGTTGCCCCAAATTATAGATATGTGTATGTTCCTATGTACATAGATAAAAGTCTCCAACGATAAAAATTTTTAGATTGTAATATTTATTAATAATAAGTTCACATAATAAGTTTATATGTAATTTTCTCTGAGGGAGTGGATTGGAGATGATGAGGACATTTTTTAACTTTTACTTTATTTGCTTGAATTTTTTAAATAGTGAACATGTAATTCTTTTTAATTTAAAAGTTATGAGTTGGGCACAGTGGCACATGCCTGCAGTCCTAGCTACCTGTGAGGCTTAGATAAAAGGATCTCAGGCTCAAGGCCAGATTGGGCAATGGCAAAAAAAGTTAGCCGAGGATGTAGCTGAGGGTAGAGTGCCTGTAGTACTACTAAAAAAAAAGTTGTTTGAAGGTAGGATGTGATGTCAAGGTGTATCATTTATTCTTCCTATAAAATATAATTTAATTTAAATTTAAGTCTAAAAGAAAAAAGAAAAGGACTGGGGATTGGAGTACTTCCTTGTATTAGAACTAAAAACAGTTAAGACGGGTGCTGGCTAGTAAACTGGCGTCCCACCCCGAGCAGTTGCTGCTGCACTCTGGTGACTGTGTATGTGCTTTGGTTTCCTTGGGTTGTTTGGTCCGCAGTTTGCATTCATTGATCAGTGAGTCAATTCAGCTTCAAACCCACCGACAGCAATGAATGTTGAGTGCAGCCATCAGTGCTTCCAGGTGGTGGAGTTGCCTTGGTCTTCCCTCTCTCTTGGTGCTTCTTTTCCACACTGTTTCTTTTTAAGTCTCTTTGTGTCTTAATATCCAGCCAGCTGTGTGGTTGAGGGCACATGCAGTTATTGATCATATTGACTTTAGTGCTCAGAGGTTCTTAAAGATGGAAAAACAAAGAGGAGACAGGAGGAGCTTCTGGAGAGCCTCACAGGTAGTTGTGTGACCACACAGGCGGTGCTTGAGTGCTAGTGAGTCTTCCAAAGCTGAGGGACCCTGCTGCTTCTCTGTTGCAAACCAAGAACTTTGAGCGCTTTTGCAGGATAAATTAGTGAAAATTATGTTTGGAGTTAAGTAATAGCTTACATATATTGAGCCTTTGCTCTGTGCTAGGACCAGTTCAAAGCACCTCATATATAATCTCATTAAATCTCAAAATCTCACGAGGTAGGTTCTCTTATTATTCTCTATTTTATATGTGAGAAAATAGATTCAGGCACTTGCTCAGGGTCACACGACTAGTTAGAGGGTTGAGCCAAGATTCATCCCCGTTTTGTCTGGCTCCAGAACTAACCTTTTGCATGAATTTAACAAGCATTTAAATAACCGTATGTGGGAATGGAAATACTATAGGCAAAAGCTCATACATACTCTGACGGGGTTGTCAAAACTTAAAGACATTATCTGTAATTAGAGTTAGAGTATGTTAAGAGCTGTAGACATTGGTTTGTGCTATTTTTGCTGAGTAAATCTTTCCTTTAATGCAAAATTTACTCTTAATGCAGAGTTTTGAGGGTATGTGGGAGAACTAGGAATAAAATATTTGACTGTTTCATTCCAAAATGAAATACATAACTTTAATAAATTTTTTCTTGATACATTTTATTTCTCATCAGAATGGTGTATTTATAAGGGATATTGAAGTTCATTAGGTGTTACCATGGGGCTTTCCTTACCTTGTTAAAATGAAGCTCTTACTTGTCAAAGCACATCAAAAAACCAAAAACAGAGGGCAATACAAATAGATGGGAGCTTCAGAAAAATTCACTGGGCCACCTTTGGGAGATAGGCTGCAGACCATGTCAGGTGATCTCATGTCACATGAAGATGCAGTCTAGTCCTCTGCTTCAGGATATGTAGTGATGTCTGTAAGGACCCCAAGGTACAGTCAACGGTCAGTGGTTTTTTTAAATTCCAAACTCACCGACAGCGTTGAATGTTTCATGGAGTCCTCTGAATGCTGGATTGAGGCCCTTCTTCAGCCTGCACTGGGTTCCCAGGGCCAGTGAGCAGTGAGAGCACTACTGGTGGAGATGCTCACAGTTTTCCAGGTTTCAAGTTAAGAGTAAACTGAAATCAGTTTGTAGACAACAGTGAGAAAATAAACTGCAGGAGGCTAGATTGCAGCCATTTACATAAGCAGACTCAAATGGATGTCAGAAAATGGCTTTAAATGCTTTATTTTGTAATTCTGACAATGTCATATTTTAGGGTAGTATTTTAATTATGAGAGAGCAAGGGTAAGAAAGTTATATTAGGATATATTAGGGAGGATACTATATATTTCTTTAAATTCTCATCCTGTGTTTTCCTATGAAAAAACTGAATCTTAGAAAGATGAAACAATTTTTGCAAAGTTATATAGCCAGGAGCCAAGGTTACAAGCCAGAAGTTGAATGCTAGACTAAATTATTTCAGTTATGAAATTATTTCATGGATCATACTTTCTTTTCCCTTGTCTACCACAAAACTTATTGTTGGTATCTGGAGATAGAATCTTCACTGTAGATTTAAACATGTAAATTTCCTCTTCTTGTTTGTGTATAGTAAAACAGGTAGGTTTGCAGGTAAAATATTTCATAGGTAGATGGAAGAAAATTGACCGTCAGTTGTTGATCTTCCTAGTGAGGATCCTGGATCACTACATTAGTATAGAAGTAGCAAGGATACTCAACAAGTTATTTTCCATTTTGAAAAGGCAAACAGTAAACAAAAAATTCACCATCTAATGGGAAGCCTACATTTATTTTCAGGACACAAAAAGTAACTAAAATGTCAGATGTCTTTGTTTTGCTTGAAAGGGCATATAGGGCATAGTGATTATTTTTGATTATTTCATGGATGTTTGGAATGACACAGAAGCATTTCTTATTGTGTTTGGGATAGTTAACTTTCATGGCATAGAACCTGGGGTGATGGTACAACTCCTGTGGTTCCAGTACTCTGGAAGTTGAAGCAGGTCGATCGCTGTGAGTTTGAGGCCAGCTTGGGCTACATAGTGAGTTCAAGGTCAGTCTGAATTGCATAACAAGACTCTGTCTCAAAAAACAAACACCAAAAAAATCCAAACCCAAAACTAAAAACCCAAAACCCAAAAACACGTTTTGTGGTATAAAGCTCTTTATCATCTGTATTCTTTCTTTAGATCTTTTTTTGTTCTGTTTTTTTTTTTTTTTTGGTTTTTTTTCCAGTACTGGGGATTGAACTCACAACCTTGTGCTTGCTGGGCAGGTGCTGTGCCGCTGAGCTAAATCCCCAGCCCCTTTCTTTAGATCTTTAACTTTAGTTTTTATTGTCAAACAAGTTTAAGGCACATTAGGTCTTCTAAATGAATTTGGCTAAGAGGATTGTATATTCAATGTAAGGGAAAATCTTAAGGGTTGAAAAAGTTAAGGGTGAAAAAAGCCAAGATTTAAGCTGAACATTTAAGAAGTTGATCTCTGAGTCTGTCAGAACTCACCATGCAATTCCTTTATCATTTCACTTACCTCCTTTTTTTTTTTTTTTTCAGAGATAACATGAAATATGGAAACCCATATTTCTCCAACTTGGAGCTGTAAATGTTTTCATAGTCCTTCAGGATCTCTTGCTGTACTTTGGAAGAAACAAGGAGTACAAACTCAATGAAACATATTTGAGTGATTAATAATAGAAGAGTCACTTTGTCAGGTGGCTATCTGCGAGGGCATTTCTCAAGCACTGTGCAGTTAGCCCTCTAGAAGTATTTGGGGTCAGGCTGCTAGCCTTGAGGTTTTGTTTTGTGGTACTGGGGATTGAACCCACGACCTTAGCACTGAGCTACATCTCCAACTTTTTTTTTTTTTAACTTTTAAGATAAGGTCTTGACAAGTCACTAAGTTGCCCAGGTTGGACTCAAACTTGTGATCGTCCTGCCTTAGTGTCCCAGAGTGCTGAGATTATAGATATGTACTACAATGCCCCTGAGGAAAAATTTTTAAATTAATGAAGATGACAGCAGTATGTCAGCATGAATTATCCCTTTCAGCTGCTAGTTTTCTGTTTCATTCTTCTGATTCAGCAGTAGACTTATAGGGGTCCTTTCTTCTATACTAGCCCTTGCCATTCTGGAGCCCAGTCACTACCCAGGGAACTGAGTACAGTACAGCTGAGGACAAAGAGGTTGACCCACATGCTGGTGGGATATGGTACAGATCACCTCAAGGGAGGATGAGAAAGGAGGGGTTAATTTTGCCTCGAAGTGCTGGGAAAGATACAGCAAAGTAGCTCACATTTGATCTGGGCTTTAGAGGTTTAGTTGAATTTTTACAAGACAGAAGGAAAGATACTCCAGTAGAGATGAAAGACAGAAAGCTTAGGTATTGGTAAGTAATAAGGTTAACCTCTCAGTGTCACTTAGTTCCTCTTTAAGATATGGGGCCAATAACTATTGGCCTTATAGCACACACAGCTGTGAAAATTATATATGTGGATGAGCGTGCAAGTGTAATTGCTAAGTTCTCTCTTCTCCCATTGCTCTTGTTGCATAGCTGCAGAAATAGATAAATCAAGTACCTTATTGTAACAGACTTCCAAATTGCATGGTCTTTGGTTTTCTTGTTTTTTGCCTTTTAAAATTACCATGATTTAAAATTTTTATATGTTGTTTGCAAAAGCAGTATTATAACATAATCAGGAATACAGGTTTTGAGGCCAGAATTATGATTTTTGCAATTTACAGGCTTTGTGGCCTTCAGCAAATTACATCACTTCTCTATTTCTGCTTCCTAATCTATCAAATGGAGATGGTGGTAATCTGTACCTCATAGGCAGTTGTGAGGGCTAAAATGAGTCACCACATCAAGTCTTTAGAACAGTTCATGACACATGTTAGAAGCTGTGGATAATTTTGTTATTTTAAAATTACTTAAATTATTAAAATCACTTATACCATCATTTATGTTTTGCCCAGCATTTGGCTTATAGTCCATAGACATAAATTAAAATACCAGTTCTTTTATGTTTAAAAGAATTTCTGATGAGCTAAAAACATTTTTTTTTTGTTTTGTTTTGTTTTGTTTTGTTTTGTTTTTCTCCGGTACCAGGAACCGAACTCATGACCTTGCGCCTGCCAGGCAGGCGCTTTGTCGCTGAGCTAAATCCCCAGCCCTAAAAACATTTTTTAATTAGTACATTTTAAAATTTCCTTGTAAGGTTTTCATTTTCATAAGGTTCAGTTTCCTCAGTCTGTAAAATGAGAATATTACTTCATTGACTGTGAGAATTAAGTTAAATAATACAATTTAAAAATCTCTGAAAAGCTATGGATTCTCTCTCTAAATATATGCACCTAACCACAACATTTGGAAGCAGGCTCAGTTATGGACTCGAGCTCATCCATTGCCTCCCAGGAAGTTTGATCTATGAGATTGTTTTGCTACCTTTGAAAGACCTGATCTTTGCCTTGCCAGGAGTGGTAACCTACCAGCCATGGTGCTGCTTTTGCCATCATGTGGTCATACCCGTCACACCCTACCCTCTAGCACAACCTGTGTAGTGCAACCAGCTAGCAGTGGTTCCTGGAAAAGTAGCTATTTAGACCTCACCAAGTTCTGTAATAATTACAGATAACAATCATTAATTACTAACTTAGTGTTTATACAATTACAGCTTCTGAAAGAAATTACTAAATGAGAAGTCACAAATATTTGAATGAATGTAACTATCTTACTTTGCAAGTTTCTCACCTTCCTCCTCTTCCCCAGCAACTACTTGGTTTGTGACTACTAATTTTAGTTTTAAATTAGGCTGAGAGTGGTATTTCAAGGCAGTGCTGAATCTTGTGTTCATTGAATATTAGAAAGGTGAAAAAAGACCTCAGAGAATGTGGTTCTACATGGGGATTGTACTTTGTATTTAGTCTGCTTGAGGTTACCAAGGGAAGGAATGGAAATTTAAATGCAGAAGTTGGAATAGTTCACAGTTTGATGTAGGTTACTTCAGGTATTGCAGATGACTCTTGAGGCAGTGGGCAAGCCAAGTCAAAGAGATGGCAAAATTTCTTAGAGTTAAGCTGTTCAAATGATACATACTCCCTCTTGCATATCTCTGTCTTCCTGAGAAACCACTCTGAAGATACCACCACGTATTACAGCAGCCATTGATATTTTCCTACTAATCTATCCATAACTGTGTAAAGTTTATAATGTTCCTATCCTATTTCATAAATGGATGTATGTTTATTATTATGTGTTTCCTACAACAACCATTGAGAAGAGTTAATGATTTTTCAGTAGGTCACTCATGTATAGCTCTATTTATTTTCTTTAGAAGCCACTTTGAAGATACCAAAGTATAGTACAACAACTCTTGATAATCTCCTACCTCTTTTGTCTGTAACTCACTATTATTTGTCTATTTGTTTTCCTGAGAAACTATTTTGTAGATAATAATATGTAAAATGATAACCATTGATAATTTCCTACCATTTTGTCTGTAATTTGCTAAGTCCCCCCTATTATTATGTTATCCTTCTTTTATTCTTTAAAATAAAAAAAATAAAAAAATTAAAAACAAAACAAAACAAAACAAAAAAAACAAATGATACATACTTCAAAATCTTTCAGAACACTCTGAGAGAGACCTGAATTCTCTGTCTCACAGTTAAAATGACTTCATGTGTCTGAGACATTACTATTTTATGTTTTTCAAATTTATAGGAAGCAGTACTTCATTTTTCCATAGTAAATTAGTTCGTAGAATATCTGTAGCCAGTAAAACAGCTCTTCTAATCAATTCAGTCTTTCCTTTTTTACAACCATGAAACTTTGGTGATGTATCAGCAGTATAAGAGTAGGTATTTCTTCCTCTGACCCATTAACAGTTTATTGGGTTAAATTTAATCATATGGCACCTTATACTTAACTGTTCTTAAAAGTTTATTATTGCTCCAAGTACATTATTGTGAGTTTTAAGGTGTCTTAAGTTACGGGTAAGTAGACTTGCTTTTTTTTTTTCCATAACTATTTTTAGTTATCCTTAACAGTTAGGGAGAAAGCTTTAGGTGTGTTGTTTTTCTTGACTATTGCCAACAAATAGTTGAGTATTTACAACATATAGTGTCTTAAAGCTTTTATTTCTGAGTATGTTTTCTCTAGAAAATCTATACTTAGATCTACCTTGTATTTTCATAAATGAGATAATACTATACAAGTTCAAACAAGCTATTACTACTTGAAATACTGCTTTTAGACTTACCTTTCCATTGCTAACCTGAAATTGGACAATCCCTGAGCTTTGAGTGGGAATGGTAATCATAGATGGGGAAACGTTCTGGGTTGAAAGAATACAAAATGAAGCTTCAATCCACAGTTTTACAATCTAAAAAAGTAACCTGAGTTTTAAAGATTACTCAGTCTAGTGGTTTCCAAATCTGACTTTGCATCAGAATTGAAAGTGTAAGTGGCAGAAAAATGTAGCTAATGATGCAGAGTCCTAGGCATCACCCCTGACTTAGTAAATCAAATTACCTAGGAGTAGGTTCTATATTTTCCAGAAGTCCCCAGGTGATTCTGAAGCAGCCATGTCATGGACTTTTGGGACCTTATGATATAGTGTAAGGATCTTAACAGATTGAGGAAACAAATCTAGAGGGAAAATGAAACCCTAAATCATACAGCAGGGTCAGAATTGAAATCCTCAAATCTAGATGTATATGGGTTCCCTTATTAAACACTGTCCGTCGTGGAAAAAAAGCATGCTTTCTGAGGAAGTTTCATAATGTATTGACCACCTGCAAAGTACATAACTTTCAAGTTGATAGGTCCAACATCTTAGCCATAGGGATCCACTCAGAACTCTTGCAAATGGACTACTGACTTGGATTTGATATGCTTTCCTGAAGTATTTGACTAAGTAAGTAATGGTGAGTGTTGCTGGCTTAAAAACTGTCCATGGTACAGAATGAGAAATAGCTGTTAGGTGATCAAAAGTCTGTGACGATCCTCTAGGCTCTGATGTTTATCAGCCACTGTTGCATTTTACTGCTTTTTCTCTAATCAAAGATGACTACTGCTGGATGGAAGAGGTTCGCAGAACCTCTGGCTGCTCTCTGAAGGAATTTATTTTAATTGCGAGAGAGAAGGTAGGCATGATTTTAATAAAGATCAAGAACTTCCAAATCTACTTCTTTTGGGCTCCTGGCCAAGTGTCCATCCTCAGGTGAAGGAGTTGGTGTCAGCTGCTGCCTTGTGACTTGAAGGTATTTCAGAAAAGCCAAAGGCATTACAGAACCCTTTCCTTAGTTGGCAGGCAGGAGTGGCACCAGGAATCAAGGGCTGACACATGTCATCAGGCTATAAAAAGTGGCTTTTGGACACTAATGATGGCTTTTGTCAAAGCTGAGTTTGATAAAGCCAGAAGGACTCAGGTTGGGGCCTAGTTTGCATAGGAGGGGAATTGTAGCTGAGAAGACACCTGCTAAGAGTTTTTGCTGTCCTGGTTTTGTCAGTGATGTATCTCCTTCAGACTTCTGTCACTCCTTTTTAAAGGATGATAATGGAAGTGTAGGATGGGTAAGGTAGAGAGGCAGTTTGGTTATACCTAGCGTATCTCTCTGTTTGCTTGTTTTCATGCTA